ACCCTTCCCCCCCACCCCCCCCCCCCCCCCCCCAAAAAAAAACCAACTGCCATGCACACTCTCAGTGCCAACCCACCTCTCTTTTCTCCCCCTCCATGGTCACAAGCAGACAGCGTTAGCATTGATAGAGTACCCATTGCTAAAGTCACTCTCACAGAATTGTTCCAGTGCAGAAGGAGGTTGCACAGCCCATTACATCTGCACTGGATTACTGAGCATCATGACTTGGTGTTATTCTTCTGCTTGTCTCCATAACCTGGACATTATTTCCATTCAAATAATTGTTTAATTCTCCTTAAATGCCTTGATTGAAGCTATCTCCATCATACTTCCAAGCAGTATGTTCCAAACCTGAACTACTACTCACATCACATTTGCTTCTTTTATAAATTAATTTAAATCTGTGCCCTATTGTTCTCAATCCTTGTGCAAGTAGGAGCAGTTCCTCCCTATCTACTCTGTCCAGACCCTTATGTCTTCTTTCGAATCCCTTTTAAGCCTTCTCCCCTCCATAGAACATAATCCCAGCTGCTCCAATCTATCTTCGTAACTGAAGTTTCTCGTATCTGCGACCAATCTTGTAAAGTTCTTCTGTCTTTCCGATGCATTCACATTCTTCCTCAAGTGTGATATCCAGAACTGCACATAATATTCCAGCTGATTTCTACAAATTCAGTATAGCCTCCTTACTGTTGTACTCCCTGCAGCTATTCATAAATCCCAGGATACCATATACTTTATTACTATCTCTTCATCTGTCCTGCCATCTTCAGTGACTTATTCACACATGTACGCCTAGGTCCTTCTGCTGTTGCACCCAGCTCTGAGTAGTACTCTTTTTCGTTTGAATGTGGAGAGTATTCGTAAAAACATCAGTCATAACATGAAAAGTGTTGGAAATACGGAGCAAGTCAGGCAGCATATATGTAGAGACACAGAGTTAAAGGTTTTGCTTAGTGGCCTTTGATCACAATTGAGGATAATTTTGGTTGCTCAGAGCATGATCCAGCAAATGTGAGTGTTTATGTTTGTTTCTGTGTGTGTGCAGATTCCGGGGATCACGAGATGGCAGTTTCTCCCATGCTCCCACGCAAGGACAGAGACCAGGACAGCAACCTGGACGATGACCGCTTGCAGTCCTTCACCAAGGAGAAGGGCAAATCCAGTTCCATCTTCAGCTCCTTCATCAAAAAGAAGAAGAAGACAGCACCTGCCCCTCCCAAGCGCAGCAGCTCTTTTCGAGACACGGACGGGCAGTCGGAGAGAAAGGGAGAAGCGCTGGAAGATACCAGTACAGCTGGGAAAGATACAAACAATGGAGCCTTTCTCAACAGCGTGGCCCCTCTTGAAGCAATCGATCATAGTAAATTGCAGCAGTCATTTAGCACTGTGGCACAAACTGCCAGCAATGGAAGTGGAGGTGTCGCCAATGGAAGCTTCTTGGGAACAACTGGATTCTTCTCTCCGCATTTGAAGAAATCCAGCACGTTAACGTCCAGCAAAGCTGCAGGGAATGAAGAGGAGCCAATGTCCAACACCAAATGCTTCATAAGATCTTGCTCTACATCCTCAATGCCCCCAGGTGGCAAAGAGATGGAGAGGAAAGCCCTGACACTGCCCCGCGACCTCCAGTCTGTGGGGAAGCCAACAGAGTCTGTGCTGCCCTCGGGCTGCGACAGGATTGAGAAGCCAGCACTGCCTCGGAAGAGGACAAATGAGACTAAAGTGGACATGGTCCCTCGGGGAAGCATGACTGCTCCGCCTCGGCTGCCAAAAAAGACGGACGAGTTAAACGATGATGTTTTTAGTAACCTGGAGTCCAGTCCCAGCTCGAGCCCACCAGCATCGACTCCAAAACTTGTCCGCGGGCAGCTAGTGACTCTTGTGTCCAGCAATCCTGGCCTCAAGGACAAAGACGAGGGTGGGAAGATTTGTGCCTTAAATTCCCCACAGGAGCATGTCTCCTCCAGCCTGGCTGCCCCTGCACTGAAGCAGAGCTCCACCTCCATCCCTGGGGGGGTGAATCTGCTGACTGAGGACTCGAGAGCGCGAAGGTTCAAGCAGGCTCCCGACCAGCTGCTCTCTGCTCCCGTTAGGGACCGGGGCAAACTGCAGAAACCCAAGCCAGTTCCCCCTCCTCCACCAGCGACAAAATCCCTTCGGCCGCCTCGGAGCCCAACCCACGAGGCTGCAGCTGAGGGCACCACAGCAGGTGTCAAACCCAAACCAGTCATGGACACTTCAAGTGGGGAGGCTACAAAGGCCCCCCCGCCGGGGGATGCAGTTAAGAGGCCTGCCCTCCATTCCACGCCAAAGTCCCAGTCCTCAACGAGGCCGTCAGCTGCCTCCTCATCCTCCGCACAGCTTGCCTTACCAAATCCAAGCACCGAACAGCAAACCTCCACCACTACAGCCTTCATCCCCCTCATCTCCACCAGGGTGTCTCTGCGCAAGACCCGGCTGCAGCCCGAGAGGATGGCCAGTGCCAACATCACCAAGGACACAGTTTTGGAAAGCACTGAGGCGCTCCGCGTGGCCATTGACAAGAACTCTGAGCAGATGGCCAGCCACAGCGCGGTGCTGGAGGCGGCCAAGAACCTGTACACCTTCTGCACCAGCTACGTGGACTCCATCCAGCAGATGCGCAACAAGTTTGCCTTCAGGGAGGCTATCAACAAGCTGGAGAGCAACCTCCGCCAGCTCCAGATTTGCTCAGCCAGCCAGGACTTTAGCAAACTGCTGTTGTCTGTGAAAGAAATCAGTGACATCGTCCAGAGGTAGCAAAGGCTCTTGGGGGGGTGGGTGGTGGGCTTTAGTGGAGGAGGGTGGACAAAATATGTACACAGAAAGCTGCTCCCAGACTCCGTAACAGTATGATAGAATCAGGAGGAGGGCTTGAATTTGGCTGCTTGCTGCCAGAGGTGTGCACAGAAACGTAGCTTTTATTGCTGAGTGGCCCTGTAAATTCCTCGTGTCTGCTTCACTTACCTCTTGCAAGATCTTTGTTATCACATGCAAAGACTTGTACTGTACACAAACAGGCGATTCGGCTTAATAGATTCACTCTAGCCTACGTTCAGCCTTCCCTTTCACTCCGTCCCTATCTTCCTCGTGCGCTTAACAGTTTCGAGGCAACAGCAGTTAATTCCTGTCCAAAGTATAAGAGGATCACCATTTCTCATTTGATAAATAGCTGTGACAGTTTGATTCGTATTCGGGAGCCAGCAAGATACTTGTGTATCACAAGTCAGCGATTGTTGATTAAAACCCAGAACACGTTGTATCTTTTAATGGAGTGCTGATTGTTAAGAGAAGACAGTGGAGGCAAAACCTCATGATCACTGACAACCTGATCCCTCACTGCAATTCACCTTTCATCATTTGCACTGGATTTCTTTAAGAAAGAGAACATTATGTAGTTTAGCTCTTGCAGTATTAAACAATGGACAGGAATAGCGTATGATCACAATAAATTTTGTTAACACCTCAACATACAGTGCTTTCCTTTGGTTATGGGGCTATGGGATTGTAATACCATAGCTGCAAATTAACACATGATTCCACATCATGCACTCATTGTAACTGAAGAGGTTGTTAAAGTAATGAGTTGAATGCTACTGTAAGTGGCAGAAAGCATCAAATAATAGCTCACCACTTGTACAGTTCCTACCTCATTAGCACTGGTGTCTCATTTGAAAGCTTAAAAAGCAGACACAGAAAGCAGTGAAATCAGCCAGAGCCCTATTACTGAGAGGTGACAAATCTCATCCTGGCCAGAACTGGCATTTCTTTTCAGCATGAAGAGGATTTAGTTCCAATTGGCAACTCTGAAACAAGGCAGAAACCAGTCCACAACCACTACCATCCTGCTCCCAATTAACACAACTGCAGAGTGTGGAATAATAGTCTACACTGGCACTAACCAACACATTTTGACACTAGGAGGTGAGATAGGGGTTGTCAGCTCTGGTCTTGATGTATCCTTGGAGCTTTCAGTGCATAACCTCCCATCTCTAAACACGTCACCCAGTAAAGGAGCTTCCTTCCCTGCCTTCTGTACTTCAAAAACACCATTTTAAAAAAATGTCCCTATGATACATAGCATTTGTGCCGCACAATTACCAGGGAATGACCATCTCCGACAAGAAAAAGTCTCACCATCACCACTTAACGTTCAATGGAATTACCATCATTGAAGCTCCCGCCATCAACATCCTGGGGATTGCTATTGATCAGAAATTGAACTGGACTAGCCATATAAATACAGTGGCTGCATGGGTACATCAGGGACTAGGAATCCTGCAGCAAGTAACTCATCTCCTGATCACCTCTCTTCAAGGCACAAGTAACAAGTTTGATAGAATTGTGTGGATGAGTGCAGCTATAACAACACTTGAAGCACATCACAACAGCCCACCATCAATACACAGTGGCAGTGTGTACCATCTACAAGATGTGTTGTAGGACTTCACCAAGGCTGCTTAGAGAGCACATTCCAAACTCATGATCTTTATATTCTAGAAGGACAAAGGCAGCAAATACACGGGAACCTGCAAGTTCTCCAAACCACTCGCCATCATAACTTGGAAATGCGTCACTGTTACTTCAGTGTGGCTGGGTCAAAATTCAGGAACTCCCTCCCTAATGGCATTGCGGGTGTACCTAAACCACATGGATTGCAGCAGCTCACCATCACCACCTCAAGGACAATTAGAGATGGATAATAATTGCTGGCCTAGCCAGCAAACCCCACACCCCTGAATAAAGTTTAAAAAAGCAAATTTCCATTGGAGTTGCTCACTGTAGTGCACAGGGGATTAATCCCTCATTCCTGGAGCAGCAGTGTGTACTTAACAGTCTAAATGCAGGAAGCTAGCTCTCGGCCAGACCTGTAGCTGTAATCCAGACTAATCACAGGCTCTATTTGTATTCTGTGTTCCAAATACAGATGTTCAAAGGGATTGCTTGACAAAATCTGAACTCAGCAGTGCCTAACACACACACACACAGGCTGCAGAAGATCTGTTTTAAAAATGTAACTAAACATTGTTATTACACAATGCTTTTTGGTTTCTCACAGCAAGCTCCCACAATCAGCAAATTGATAATGACCAGATAAAAAGACCTAAGCAAAGCCTTAATCTCTGATGAAGATAATATATTCCTGGCCAAAATAATATTACTGATATTCAGCAATATTGATTGTTAATGCCCTTAATTAGGATCAAATTAATTGGTTCTGAGAACAATATGTAACATGAAATGATATGTAATTTGTAACTATATAATGCGGTAACTGGAGCAGACTTGAGGACTCATTCCATCTTTGAATATTTACATTCTTCCATTTCAGCCTTGCCCAGAGCTGAGATATACTCACAGGGCTTGAATGCAATAATTTCCCATTCGTGGTAAGGTTTTTTTTTTCCCCTCTCTGTAACTAAAATTGCTCCCAGCAAATGTTAAAAGTTAGTAGTCGCTAGCAAAACTCACTTGAGTAAACCGGTCTTTTGAACCAAATGGACTGCCTTGAACATAGCTTGTGACTTTTACCAGCCAGAAAGTTGTTAAAGACTGCAGAATCTTGACTGCAAAAACTGAAGGATTCACAAGCATTTTAGTAATCATTATCCAAGATCTTGTATTGAGGCTGTGGATATTGTCAATCCTGATGTCAGTATGAACTAACAGTTTAAAGGGGGTGTATTTTAAACGGGGTGGGGAAAAGTGTGGTGGGATGGAAGAGAAATGTCCTGTCCTTTGCTTTGGTGGGATCACTCAGAAGCAGCCCATAATAAAGCCGTTAAGACGCACATGATGCACTGTTATGTGGCAGTCAGATCTTTTGAAATGACTGACACTTAAATACACCATTAATGTGTGTGATTAGCTTGGACACTACTTACTCTGAATCAGAAGGGCCTTGGAAAACAGACCCATAAAAACACAATGTGAAGTATTAAGATGGTTTAGGTGTGAAGTATATCTTCACACTTCAGTTTTATTAAGCAATGCCTTAACTTCCTTCTCACAGCAGTCAAGAATTGGCATCAACCAAACAGACATGCATTTCAAGTTCATTAATCAATTATGAGATGACTTTAGCATCCACAAATCTCAGCAGTTGTAAAGTAAAGCTGATTCTTTCATTGGTTATTAGAATGAGGTGTTCTTGTATTGTGATAGAACTGCATTATGTTGAAACCTGGAGCAGGAAGGCTAAATGTGGCAGTTTGGAGGCAAATTAGTTTCCAAATCTGACAGCTTGCTTTTTTTTCTTTTTAATTCCACTTAATGTTCTGAAAAGACTTGAAAGAAATCAAAAGCTCATCCATTTTCTATTGCTGGGGTCTAGCTGTATAACTGAAGCTCGTGTGATAGTTAAGAAGTGGTCTTGGTTTTCTTTGATCCCTCTCTCAACAATAATCACTGAAGATGTAGCCTCTGCATTGGCCAGACAGGGTCAGCTCTGATCCCAGTAATAATGGCTAGACTTTTATGGTTGTAATATTTTTATTTTGTACATTGTATCAGTATTTTTTTGTGTGAAGAGATTTCCAGTTACTATACAACAGGAATTTAGGCACAATATTAAAAGGACTTGAATCTGCTATTTGATTTCTCATCACTGTAAACTTTGTTGTAAATTTTCTTCAAAAGGTGTTTGGCCAAGTTTTTTCCAAATGTGTATTTACACTGAAGCTGCAGCCTGGCATTGGTATTGGAGACTTGACCACCGGTTGTGGCCATATACTGGGATAATGTTGATCAAGTTGCCACCAGCGGAGGTCTCACGCGGCTACCGCTAACAATGAATTTGAGTTTACAAAGATCAAAGCAAGGCCAGGCCAGATCAGTGTGAAAGCAGCATTTTGTGTAGAAAATCCTATCTAAATCGCATCATAGAAATGGACCCATTTAGCCCTAGTCAGTCCGTGTCATCATTTGCTTTCCACAAGAACTTGTCTGGATGAGGAACATCAACGCAGGAGTCACCCATTCAGCCCCCAAGAACCTATTCAGCCTTTCACTTAGATCAGGGCTTATCTGTATTTTGACTGTATTTCTCTTCTCTGGCTTATCCCTTGCTCAACAAAAATCTACCAATCTCAGTCTTGAAAATTGTCTCACAATAATCCACTCTTTTTCAGGGGAAAGTTCCAGATTTCAAACACAACTTGCATGAAAAGATGTTTCCTGATTCATTTCCAGATGACCTACCTCAAATGTTGGGATTTTCTCCTCCTGTTCTTGTTTCCCTCCCCAGGGGAAATATTATCTGCCCAGTCGAATCCCTTCATCAATTTAATCTTCTCTATCATGTCATCCTTCAACCTTCCCAACTAAAGGGAGGAGAAACCAAGTATTAAAAACAAATGTTGAACATTTGAGTTTGTACAGATGAAGCAGTCTGATGACATTCTTTGTCTGGTATAACCAACTTCAAGTTCTAGATATCTTGTGAGGACATCCTTGTGAATGGATAAAGGTTACAGTTATAATTTATTAATGGTGCAAATCACTCTTAACAGATGTTGGCAGCACAGAGATGCACCTGAACAACAAAACAAGCCCACAGAATTACTGTGAATCATAAACATGACAACTTTGCTTGATTGTAAAACCGTAATCCAATCTTATAGCCTCAGCTCCCATATCATTTTTAAAGCCTCTTCCATTCTTGTTTATTAATTGTCATAGAGTCATACAGCACAGAAACAGATCCTTTGGTCCAACTGGTCCATGATGAACATAATCCCAAACTAAATGAGTCCCACCTGCCTCCTCCTGGCCCATATCCCTTCAAACCTTCCCTATTCCTATATCTTTCCAAATGTTTTTTAAACATTGTAATTATACTTGCATCCATCACTTCCTCAGGAAGTTCATCCCACCTGCAAACCATCTATGTGTAAAAAATTTGCCTCATCTTTTTTAAATCTCTCACCTTTAAAAATATGCTCCCAATCTTGAAATTCCCCATCTTAGGGAAAAGGCATCTACCACCAACTCTATCTATACCTGTCTTTAATTTATAAACTTCTATCTGGTCTCAAATAGTTGAATAAACAAAAACCTCCTACCTGTGGATACACGTACCTGACTGGTCCATGCCTCTGTTTATTCTTCATATGAGCTTACTCCCATCCTGCTTCTTCCTCTAATTCTATAAGTGTGACATTCTGTACAGCACTTCTTCATAGTTTGGGGTGATGTGGTGGAGTGGTAATGTCACTGGGCTAGTAATTCCGAGGTCCAGGCTCATGCTATGGGTGCGTTGGTTCAAATCCAACCATGGCAGCTGATGGAATTTAAATTTTCTTTATAAAGTGTAGAATTGAGAGCTACTCTCAGCAGTGATAACCATGACAACTATCGTTGATTGATGTAAAACTATACAGTTCATCAGACTTTTACGGAAGAAAATTTGCTGCCGTTACTCAATCTGGCCTACATGTGACTCCAGACACACAGCAACCTAGTTGGCTCTTAACTACTCTCTGAAATAACCCAGCAAGCAACTCAATTTAACAAGAATTACAGACAGGCAACAATTGATGATCTTTCCAGTGACACTCTCATCATGTGAAAGCTTTTTTTTAAAAAAGTTTCCCTCTAAATGCATCAGTGCTATTTGCCTCATTATGGTAGCTAATTCCACATTTTCACCATTCTTTGAGTTTTTAAAAAAAAATGGGTTTCCTTAGTTCTCGTAAGATCATCTTTGTTTATGTCTGCCCTGTACACCTTCATAATGTTAAAGACCTCTGTAATCTTCACTTTTTAGTGAGAAAAGAGCCCCACCCCCAGTTTTTACTGATAGTTATAGACTTTCGGTCCTGGTATCAACCTTGAGTTTCTTTTGCATTTCTAGCACCTCTATGTCCTTTAGTATATAGAAAATAGAACTGACAAGTGCTCACAAGTGCCCTCACCACTCTTGCAGCCACATTTTTCCGTCACCTTCCTGTCATCATCTTACATAGATTTACATATACAGTACTGCTGTTGGTCTGTCTGCGTTACACACAATCGTCCTCTCATTATTCTTTATCGAACCCTATCAATGTAACCATTTCTTCCCTAATGTATTTTTGGATGGAGTCAGTTCCATTCACTTGTTCAAACTCCCGAAGAAGTTCATCTGAGCAGTGCCCTTTAATAGTCTGTAGTATTACCGTAGAGATGGGGGAATAACATTTCCAAAAAATTCCCCTGCCATCAAGAAATTGGTAATCTATAACTTGCTCTCCCCTTGTGTTAGAGGTATGCACCTAAGCAGAGTGCCTACCCTTGACAGAGTGGCTGAAATGTGGAGCACTCCCTACTGGAGGCTGCGTTATGACTCAGCAAGACCATGAGGCATTCAGAACATCAATGCCATGTTACTGTAATGAAGTAGTTATGTGGATTTTAGAACAAGTTGACCAGAGTACAATCAATATCTGACCACCCACAATGGAGATATGAGTGCAGAGTCTCCCAGATATATTGGTGAAGGCCGGTAATGCAAATATTGGAAATGGTAGCAAGTGATTGGTTAGCACAAAATAGATGCAGTGGTTTTTAAAACGTTTTTATGAATGATGAAGCAAATGAGAAAACATGTCATGTCTTCTATCTAATGAATATCTTTAAAGGTATAATTGGCAGGTTTCCCATGGTGTTAGTGAGGTGTAGTGATGTTTTGTCAGCCTAGCCATTCAGGTTATACCATCTGGTTTGGTGTATACTATTTTGTACAGAAGGTGGAACTGTCCACTCATGCAAGGCCACATGGTTTAATTGGTGCCAGAAGGTCAATTAGAGGCTCTTTACTGTTAGGATAAGTCAGAAGAGTCTTCTGCTTCTGTAAATTGGATTTTTTTAAACTTTAGCTAAAACTTGGTTTGAACCATTTTCCTGACTATGCCGCTGTAAATGAGCTCATGGCAAAAATTATAAGATCGCAGTTTCCTCAGATCCAATTTCTGATGGAATCAAAGACTTTTAGCCCCATTCATCTACTGCTAATTAAAGGCCCTCTTCTGACCATATTAAGGTCATAATGGGAGTTGTTGGTTGGTTCACCGAGCTGACTAGATTTCATGCAAACTTTTCGTCTTCCGTCTAGGTGACATTATCAGCGCTGTTGTTCTGTCCCACTCTGAATTTATATGGTTCGGTCTGACGTGTTGGGCAGTCTTGTTTCCGGTTTTGCATTGTAGTGATATGTAGACAGGGTCTATTTCAACATGTTTGTTTATCGCATCAGTGGTTGAAAACCAGGCCTCCAGGAATTCCTGTGCTTGTCTTCGTTTTGCTTGTTCTAAATTCAGAGTGGGACGGAATAACAGCGCTTCAATGTAGGTTACACAGCACTAAAGATGTCACCTAGAAGGGAAACTAAACGTTTGCGTAAAAACCAGCCCACAACTCCAACCACAACTGGAGCTACAGATCTTTGTTAAAACATTAAAGGTCATAATCATGTTCAACTTTACAACAGAATGCCATTCCTATCAAAATGAGTAACTAATTGGAATTGGATTAACATTTAGAATCCAGTGACCTTTCTTCAGGTCACTGTAAAAATGTAAGAGCACAACTTCTTGAAGAAAGTCACATATTTACAAATTTTACTTCTTAAAAAAGTATATTTTAAATAAGAGTTAAATTTAAGATGCCCATGGGCACACGGGTGTCTCAGAATAAATTCTGATACCATGTCCTACAAAAAGATATCTGTGATTTGTTAAGAAGCCAGCTTTTACAGAAATGCGTTTACATTCTGAAGCCATTAGACCTGACACAGACTTGTTAACTGGTAGTCTAACAGTGACTGAGGTCAGTGTCTTTTTGGATACTAATGATTCAAAATTGGCATTTAAAAAGGAGACATTTTGACATTTTATGTCCCTTGAGAATTTAAAAAGTGCCCAACATGCACAGGCCATGTATTTATGATTTCAGCTTCATTTGATGCTGTAAAGTTTTGAGCACTTATTTCCCTATATTTGGTCACTTGCTGTGGGTTAATAAATTTATACAAAGTGATGGGTGTGTAATGTGAGCACGACAGGGTTGCCCTTTATTTATTTATTTATTTGACTCAGGTTTTTTTTATATTTCAGTTTATTTTCTCTTCTCTTTTTCCCATTGTCGCTCACCTTTACACATCCTCAGTTGGCCAAATGGACTGCGGGCTGCTCTTCAACCCTTCATTTTATGAACCTGGTGACTTTCACTTCTTTACAGAGATGATTTCCACTCAGTGGCAGCTAGACCCTACCAATAGCATATCCAATAAGCAAATTCAGTCGAAAGTTAAAATCTGTTGATGTGGGTAGGTAGGTCTGAGTGGTCATCCAGCATAGTCTTAATCTTTTAAAATTTGCGTCCAATGCTTTAAGCACCCAGGTCCCAGACTTCTGTACCAGAAAATTCCTCTGCGAAGGATATCCAACCATTGAGTTTCTCCCTTTATATTATTTACCAGATGGCTTTGGATAGCGTCATAGGATTGGAAGGGTTGTTGTTTACACCTAATTGTTACAGGCTTTTACCCCTTGGAGAGGAGCCTGGCTGTTTCAGTCTTAAAATTGACTGCTTGATGGGTGGGTGGCTACAG